AGCTCATCCCAGGCTAAGTGCCCGCAGCAGGTAGGCATCCCTGGAAGATGTCACTGCTGAAGGTGAAACCCAAACGTTACACACAGCTGCTACGCGTTAGAAACTCCAGCCAGGCAACATGCTCTTCGCAGATGCTCATTTAACAACCCTCCACCATTACTTACCCAAACATAGGTTGGTGAGAACAAGCCTACTGCTATGGCAGTCTGCTTTCCATCAGATGATTTGAAGTCAGTGAAAAGGCAATGCAGACAGCAGAAGAGTCCCTTTCTGAGGCAGGCAGCAGTTTTTAAGAGGTCTTTCTTGTGTTTCTGCACCCTTAGCAAGCCCATTCCTACCAGTTCCTTCCCCAAGTGAACTACACAGCTTGGAAGCCAAATCCTGAATTTCTGGAACAGTTTCTCTGGCAAATTAGGCTTTTTTACAGAATTGCAGGTGGAAATGCGGGTCCAGAGCACCTATTCTTCCACCAGCACAAAGTTGCTACCCACAAGCCATTAAGTACATCACCAAGTCCAATTTTAAAAGGATCGAGCAACAAGATTACCACTGCTCTCCCACCCAGGAGCTCATCTCCACGGGCAGAGGGACCTCACTGCAGGGACACCAAGTCACCCATCACAGGCAAATACTTTTGGCAGTTCAGCTTTGTTTTTTTCTGGGCACTGCTCTGGCAGGTCCCCAGCAGACATCGGGCACCACAGCCACCACCAGCTCCGCTGGTCCCCGGTCAGACACTGAACACTGCGCCGACCCTTGACATTCACGGTATCTATATCTGCATCTCCGCTGCTGCAGGAAGCATCTACCCAAAACAACTGCAAATCCAATTAACAGACTAACACATCTCCCCAGAGGATTCAGTGCAGCACAAAGCCTCTGAACTACACCACTGCGAGCCGGGCCAGGAGCTTCCCTGAGGAGCTGCAGGGAAGACCAAGAGGCTGAACTTGCCAGGGCAGCCGTGGGCATCCCACCAGGCTGGTCGTTGGCCATCCCACCAGGGCACAGGCTGGTGGCACCCTGGCTCTATGGCAGCGTCACGGACAGGACCAGGCTCTGCGCCCAGCTCTGACCGCAGAACCCCTTCTCGGTGCACAGCATGCCCAGTGGAGATGGCTCAACCCCGCATCCCTCTGTGATGCTCATCAGTGGTTTAAAAGTTGTACGGAGATGGTTTAAAATTCTTGAAGCCCAGCATCCTCCACTGACACCAAACAGCTCCACAGCAAACGACTGGACCACGACGGTGCTACTGGTCCTGATTTGACTGTGCAAATTGTCTATCAGAAAGCCATTACCTACCAGAGGCTCATTTCAGCTCAACAGTGATCAACTAATTAGTGCATGTCTTGCCCTTTCATAGCACCATGCTTCAGCCAGAGCAGCCTTCACTAAATCAAGAGGACCTTTGAGAAAACCAACCGCTAAGCAAAATCCACCTCCAGCCCCAGAGGAGTTTCCTGCAGGTGCCGTTCAGCCCCAGCATCCCAGTGCGTTCCCAGCCTGGTGGGAACTGCTTCTGGCTCCGCTCACCAGGCAAGTACTTCCCTTGGGAAGAAAAATCCCCTTCCCATGACTTTGCCATGGCCTAGTTTTCAAGGGGGACAAAAGAAACAACATTTTGAGTAGCATCCAAGGGACCTAAGCAGGAGCCGGACAAGGGCCAAAGTCACCTGAGCACTTGTGCATGAGACTGGAGCTCCTCAGAAGTGTCTACAAAGCGTTCCCAGATCAAGCCTGGAACAAACCTTCACTGAGCAGACATGCAATGTTCATGCTCTTCACACCAGCTTCTCAGCTTCCCAAAAGCCATGGCAGCAACCACTGAAGATGTGAAAAACAGCATAAGGAACCCCTGTCAAAGAGGAACTGTGGGGATGGGTCTAATCCTCCAAGTGCCTGAAACTGGGCAGCAGCCCAGAGAGCAGAGCAGGGAGGGGAGAAGCTTTCCTGCCACCCCTCTGGCTCCCGGGAATGCCATGGCAATGGGGTTCAGACAGAGGTACACCCCTGCCAGACACTTGCACCTGAAAACTCAAACCACAGAGCCGATTACAACTCAAGTACTTTATTATCACTAAGTTTTCCATTACCACGCAGGATTATCCTGTCTACACACAATTGCTAAAATCTGATGGAGAATTTACAAAATATGTGAAGTGCTAAGCAGCTGGTGAGCAGAGACCTAAGCTTGGGGGTAGGGTTATTAGGTTGCTAACTCTTTTCAGCAAGACAAACATGCAGCATCACTACCATCACAGGAACGTGTTTTTAAACAAGCCAGCACCGAGCAGAATGGACCACTCTGCCTCACTGCACCAGACAGCCAGCATGGCTGCACACAGCTGGGGACTGGCCATCGACGGGCAGTTTTCCAATGTCCAACTTAAAGAGCAGCTCCTTGGAGTCACAAGTACTATCAGAGAGATGACAACAGCAAAACTCGGCCAGTTTTGAGCACTGATCGACAGAGCCACAGCAGCTCTCCCGGCACAGGGCAGCCTCTGAGTGTTCACCCAGTGCCCCGGGGTGCTGCGAACCTGCCCGGAGCTCCCGGTCCCCATCCGTGCTGTGTCACCGGGGGGTGCAGAGCCCCCACAGCCACCCCAGCATCACTGCAGCACAGGCAGGAGAGCTAGGGAAAGAGATGTGGCCGCCTTCATCACCTTTTAGACACAGCATGTGTGTATTATGTTTTTTTTGACACCTCCTGTCCCAGAAATAGCATCAGAAAAGTATCCACATTCAGAAAAGAAAGGGTTAAGGAGGGGTAAAAAAAATCTCAGATTCTTTTCCATGGAGGCTGGAAACAGATGCAAGCTGCAGCCCCAACCAGAGCATCCCAGAGTCCTGCCTGACCTCTTGGAGGAGCTTTCCCTGTGCTGTTGGTCATGGAGGAAACCACCCACACAGGCAGGGAGCAGCAGGGGCACAACATTAATGCAAGTGGCAGTTATGAACATCCCCATTTGCTGCAGCTTCTAGTAAGGAATGAAATAACCCAGACCCCAGCGCTCCTTTCCGGCACTATCAGTAATCACAGCACAGGAACCGATAAGGTAAAGGTGTTCCCAGGAAAAGCCATACCTTTGGTGAGCACAGCCCCGATCTAAAACATTTTTCAGCCCCTGTTTATACATCCCGCTGGGAGGGGGTTGTGTCCCCAGCTGTTATCGGCTCCAGTAAACAGCAGCCAGATATTTTATCTTAACTTTCTTCTGCATGGAGCAGCTGCCACAATAAATATCAGCAAGATCAACAAAGCAAGAGGTCCGAGGAGCAGCTGCTCGTCACAGCTCTGGGCTGAGCAGGAGCTGCCAGGATCCTCCCTCAGATGCACTCACACCAAGAGCAGAAGGCACAGTAATTTGGAAAGATTTTAAACCAACCCCAAAAAACTCAAGCCACACACCAAGTGCCTATTGGGAGCCCATGGGAGGGCACTAAGGATGCTTGCTGTCAAACCACCGTCCTTAGGCAAGAAAGCAGGACCACCAGAAGACACCAAAGCCAGGTTTTAAGCGTGAGCAAAGCCTGGAGCTGCTCAGAAGGGGAGGCAGGGTTTGTGGTCCCCAAGCTCCTGCCCTCACCCAGCTGAGCTGCCTCTGATAAAGCTTTCCCAAGCTTTCACTCCCAGGAGGACAGAGCTGCTTCGTCTTTCACCCCCAAAGAGACAGAAGAGGAAGCCCTCGGACAGTAAGGTCTGCACAGCCCTTACAATCTCAGTCGCTGCATGCATCACGCACAAGGCTCTTGTTTTATTTATTAAACAGAAACAGATTGCTATAGGCAGCTTTAATCCAAGCGATAGAATTGGTTTCCATAGACACTTACTGCTTCCCCATCAAAATTCAGGCGCAGGCAGCGAGCTGTGCACGGCCGAGCTGGAGCAGCCCGTGGCTGGGGGTAAGCAGTGTCTGACAGCGAGCACAAGCAGCCTGGCCCCTCTGAGGGGCTGTTCACCAATTGCTTCATCGGTCTTTAGAGTCATTTCAGCTCAACCTCTTCTGATCATTGACTGCCTCAGAGATCGCATTAATGAGTACAGTTTGCCATCTCCTAGCATGGCGACCTGGTGAGCCAGACCTGCAGGAGGGACTGGGAGGAGGAGGAGTTGTTCACCTGGGATGGCGAAGGCAACGAGACCAAAACCCATCTCAGCCCCACCAGAGCCTTAACAAGAGGCTGCAGGAGCCCTGGGGGGAGCTGGGAGAGGAGCCACCTCCAACCATATCTGTGCAGCGAGACAGCAGCAAGGAGGGGGCAGCTCAGAGGGAGAGCACAGGAGCCATGTCCAAGCGACGGGAAGACTGGAAAAGCAGCTCCCAAATGACTTACCGGAGGAGTAAGCGTAGGAAAGGGAAAGGAGGCACCGAGCATCACAGCTCGTGACGCCTGTCGCAACTGTAATCAACTGAGCAAATACAAGTCCCCAGCTGCGTTGCACTGGGAAGCTGCAGACAGCGTGCAGCAGATCTTGCAACAGCTCTGCCGCACTCAGCAGGGCTTAGGGCATAAACACAGCCCTCACCGTGCACAGCCCGAGTGCTGGGCGACTTCTACCAGGAGAAACACTGCTTCAGTACAGCTGACCTGCCCATTCCCCAAACCGCTGCCTCTCCCCTGCATCGTCCCCTTCTCCTTCGGAGGACGAAGGCAGGCAGCGCTGCCTCAGCTCCCAGACCAGAAGCCGGTGCTTTTGTCTCCTTTGCAAAGGAAGACGAAAATGCCAGGAAAGCTGCTCTCTGCAAACACTTCCTCTTTGCAAACACCACAAGCTGACAGTGCCCCAAAATCCTGACGCTAAGAATAGCAGGCTTTTTTTTTTTTAAGCTACACTAACAGTAAATACAGAGACACTTTCACCATTCACATGAGGCAGGATCAGCTCCACATTGAGCTTGTTATCCCCATCGACAGCAAAAAACTGGTTTCATTCCTGTGCTTAGAGCCTGCTCCGGACTGTGACTCCATTTAGCAGTAAATAGGCAACTTACCCAATTCTTTAGATCCTTGGCTTTCACTGGCCAACTCTCCCATCTTAACCAGAGCATCAAAGTATCCTTTTGCTGCATATGTCATGCCTAAAAGGATCAAAAAACACAGGTTATATTCTCTTTAATGGCTATTATAACTTCTGTGGCACTGAATAGATGCTAGACACTAAAATAGACATTACTTCAAAGGGCTTAACCCCACGGGGAGGGACTAGACAACAAACAGAAGAAAAATGAGTGAAGAAAGAAGAAAGATCGAGCAGCAAGATCACAGAGCTATTTAGGAGGAAAAAAAAAAGGTACGTGCAGGACCTAGGTGGTTTTCATTCCAGTTTAACCATCAGCCTGCTTAATGCTGCTCAGAAAAATCACTGTGGAATAATTGAATATCACAGACTTTCATTATAGTTCAGTCTTGTTTGTTGACATTCCAGCTACACACTCCACTTTAATCAGATAAGCAGGGGGTTTCCTCTAATCACGAGAACATGTTGTACAGCTTTAGCACAACACCGTCAAATTATGTGCTGAAACCTCTTCCAGCATGATTTACTGATTAAGATACTTCCTTCAGATGCCCCCACAAGCTCAGAGATGCAAAGTAAAGGATGACCAAAGACAATTTCAAAAATTACAGGAAGATCTTTGCCTTCAAAGCTTATTCACAGCAGGGATGCAAGAAGAATAGAAAACAAGTGATCATACTGGTTATCCACAAAACACTGCAGTTACAGTGTGCTCAACTTAAGTGTGATAAAATAGCACATTATAAAGGGACTCCACCACCCGGGTAATTACAAGCTGCATTATCAGTATAACATTTCAGAAGAACAAATAAAAAAAAACCACAGTCCCAACTGCAACCTCCTCCTCCCCATCAGACCCTGCCTTTCCTCCCTTCCCTGCTGCCTGCACCTGGCTGGAGACCCAGCAGGGAAAGAGCAGGCAGAAGCACACCCAAATCATGAACCCCTGCATCGTTAGCATCATTAGGAATAGCTGGGAAATGCTGCTGCTTGTAAGGGTGTAGTAAGTGCCCCATCCCTGGGGATCAGAGTCCACAGCCCCTGTGCAGTGGACCAGGATGGACAGGCACTGCCTACGTTATGGCCAGTTGATCCATTAAAACCTAATTAAAAACAAGGCTGAGAACTGGCAAGAGAGCAGCACGCAGGGGAGCACCTGCACCTGAGAACGGTAGGAGGTCTGCATCTTAAAAGATCCTTCACTGAAACATCCAGGAACCTCATTTGACTTGTGGGAAATAAAAGTTGCTCCAGGCACAAAGCAAGAAGGCAAAGATCCTTCCCAAAGGTCATATTTCAAACACTGGTGTTTAAGAACATGAGACACCAAAGTTTTGGGGTTTTTTGCACTGGTTTAAGATTTTGACAGCCTCTTCCCTTACAGGCATTTTCACTGAACCAATTAAAAAAATAAAATCCAAGAGACACGTGCAGTGCAGCTCTGAAATAAGCAGAGCCCTCCCCAAAAGAAAGCAGCTGCCTCTGGGGTGAACAGAGCCTGCCTTAAACCTCCTTAAAACTGAGCCGAGAAGGTCCCAGGCAGTATGCAAAGTCATTTTAAGTAAAATTAGTCCATTTTTTGGTTTTCAACAATTTGTATTTGACTTTTGATCATTTAAATCTACACCTCCCTAACGGCTCCCAACAGGACCCAGTATTCCCAATCAAGAGTTGCCACCAATATTTTTAGGTTTTTTCCTTCTCTCCCAATGCATTCTTCTGGGCAATTTGAACATTTTAATAACACAGCTTTAAACAGAGCTTAAAATCTTAATTCTAAATATTTCAAAGTAACATTTAAAGACAAACCGGTTGATGTATTTGTCATCCAGTTGCCACTCAACATTTTAACACTCAAATCCTTTCCACATTTGTGGCCCCGCAGCACGCGTGTGCCTTGCACATCCTAACGACATGAGCTTTGCATTGAGGTCCAAGAACCACCTCCCCAGTTTCCTCCCCTCACCCCCCTTGGGAACAAAGAGCATCCCAAGCTGGTTTTCCAGCTTTCGTCCTTTCCGAGACCATGCTGACCAGACGGACCCAGCTGGATCCTCACCAGCCTTCCAGCCCCCAGCGTTTCAGCAATAAACACACCAGCAACGCAGTTTCACTTACTTGCTAAGGCTTTTTCATAGGTCTTCCCCATAGAAATGAAATTCCTGAGGCTGGGATTGAACTGTTCCATGATCGTCTAAAGGAAAAAAGAATATCATCAGGGGTTAGCAGAGATGATCAGGAGCTGGACAGAGCAGCTCCGTGCTCCCCTGGGGCAGCCACACTGAACTCGATGCTCATCAATGCAATAACGGAACAAAAAGTCCTCCCACACCCCTCACAGCAACGCAACCCAAGCTTCCCGACATCTGCAAGAGGATGCTGGGTTTTGACCAAGAAGCCCATGTCTTGCGAACAATGCTCCAAAGCAATGGCCCTATTGGTCTGGAAGGGCAAATATTCTTCTCATTTAGGGTAAAGTCAGAAGTACAGGATCAGGGCAGGGCAGAAGTAGCTCAATGCTAAACCAAACACTATGATAAGAGCTGTTGAACATGGCCAGGATGTCAGCCGAATGCAACAACCTGTGCTGCCGCTTCAAGCCGTGCCTCCTCCAGACCTCTGCAGGAACGGTTGGGAGGTACCGTCACCTCTCACCAAGGACAACCGCTCCAAAGGGCTCTTCCCCACACCAGCTCCAGCAAGAGCCGTTGGCACTGCCCTGACACCAGGTGAGAGCAGAGCCCGGACACAGCGATGGGGGGAAGATGCCCCAGATATCGTCCCTTCATCCCACAGCTTTACTGAGGAAGACCAATCTTGGGTTTTGAACGCCAAGAGGCAGAGGGTCAAAACCAAGCCAGCATGAGATGCCTTGCGTAGGTGCTTCGCCATAAGAGATAAGTGAATGTCCCAAACCAGCAAGTGATCAGATATGGCAAATATAACCATAAGTGGCTGTTTGAGACAGCAGGCAATGGCCCTCAGACCAACCATGAAGTTGACCTGAGTTCTGGGAGATGATCGCTGGTGATGTCCCACTCCTGGGGTGGGCTCGGAGAGCAACATCAGCTTCGTCTATCACGGACAAGCAGAAATGGCCGAAGAGAGGTATTTGAAATAACCACCAAGGAGCTGAAGACAGAACAAAGCCACCACCGTCCCCACCGAGCTGGGGCCAGCCACAGCTGATGCCACGTGCAAGGAATTACACCTCAGTCTCAAAGCACTTGGTGTCACTTTCCACCTGCCTCTAAATGCATAAATTAGGGTGTCGGTGAACACCAGAAGCGCTGTCTGACAGCTTTTCCTCCCTCGCTTTAAGGTCCTTATTTAAACATGGAGGGGGAAGGAATAATCGGATCACAAAGAAGAACGGCTCTTTGTACGTTTGGCACAGCAGCTATTGACCCTCCCCTGCCAGAGCTATTCAATCCCCGCCGCCGATAGCATCTCTAAAACCAGACACCGATTCCCAGCCGAGCTCTGGAAGAGACAACAAAATCTCCATTCTCTCCCTGCAAATCCGACCTCCGGACCAAGCCTGGATGCAGCGGAGCAGCCCTGAAGCAGTCCGAAGCCCCTGCCCCACCTCGGGGACAGCCCCTCGCCCTGTCCCAACAGCCTCCCGCCAAGGGTACCGCTGCAAAATTAAGTTTAATGCCTAAACGTCCCTGCACACCCCAAGCAGGGATGCACGGGCATCCCCCCCGGGGAGGCGAGGGCTCTGCACCCCCCCACCGCGCTGCTGGCAGCGTCCCATCCCAGGAAGGGGAGGGAAGACGACAGACAGACACTTATGGCAAATAAGCTGATTAAGCATCTGTCACCTCATCTGAAGCTGGCCAAACGCTATAAAGCTCATTTTCTGCCTGAGGCATTTTTATCCCGAGTTCCTGCTGCCTGGCCTTTGGAGAGTGTGACAGTTTAATTTTCTTCCTCGGGTGCACATGTACAGGGCTCAGCCAGCGCCTTCCCCCAGCTCAAAACAGCCATTTTCTAATGTCAGTGAGCAGGAACCTGCGTGGACACCAGCTCGGAGGCCAGTGTCGAGCACGCTATCCGGGGGGGAGCATCACCCAGGTGCCGGTATTTGTTGGCAGGAGAAATCCTTGTAATCCTCCGAGGAGCGCACAGCAGCAGCCCCGCTCCGGGCTGGAGCAGCGGGTTGATGATGGCTGCTCCAAAGCTGGAGCACCAACCCAGCCCAAGCTGCGATGCCCCAAAAGCCACCATCCCACCGCCCCGGCAGCTCTCGGTGCTTTCGGGTCCATCCCACAGCACCACACGCAGCCCTGCAAAGGGCTGAAAATGACTGCGGAGAGCTGACAGGCAAGCACGAGGCTAACGAGAGTCTTCACTGCTAATTAAGGCTGCAGGTCAAGCTACACAGCAACATAGCGCACATGGAAGCTGCTTTGGGGCAGCACAGAGAAGTTTAGAGAACACGCTTGGCTTGAAAGGAGAAAATTAACCTGTAGCAACAAGCCACGTAGCGAGTTGTTCTCCCTAATTGTAGGAGACAATTGCACAGGAGTTAATTAACACTGATGAGGATTGCTCCATCCTTCCCACGTCACGTTTAACCTCCATCAAAAAAATCTACCTGTGTTATCCCACGAAGCAGCTGGAGGCATGGCATCGCTGCCCACAGTGGGACAGGGACACAGACACGTCCCCACCGCCGGCAGAGCCGTGGCTACAGCCTCCACCACGCTCGAGCTCAGCCTGTGCAGTCTGAGGCTGAGTAACATTTACGCAGAAGAAATATTGGCAGAATTTCTGTGGGGAAGGGATTTTTAAACAGTTTGTTAGGTTAAGTGCATTAAGTGTTTATGTATATGTCTGTATACATGTATATATAAATAAAAGTATTTTTGCAGCAGTGCCTATGTAAACATATCTTCCTGAAGCACAAAGCTTAGCGAATAAATGATGGAATAGGATCCACAGATACAGCATCAGCCACAGAGCAGTAGCACTGGCGACATCAGCAAGCACTGGCCGTCCCCACGGCATGGCATGCTGAGCATGGGTGGGCGCAGACAGCGGTGATGGAGAGCAGCCCCTGGGACAGCAGCACCGTGCCTGAAGGCTTAAAGCAGCCAAGCTTCTCTCTTGATCTGCAGGTCTTGTGGGGATGGGTGCAGTGGAACAGACTCAAGGAAATCCCCTTCCAAAATTCAGCTCATCTTCCCCAAACTGGAGGGAACCAAAGCATGGCTCAACTCCAACAGCTGCCAGCACCACTGAGGGCAGGACCCCACTCGCCACCGAGTGACAACTGCCATTTTAAAGCAATAAATAAAGAGAAAAAGCCCCCAGAAAGGGTCCCACTGATCAGCTGAAGAAGAGGGGAGGCGACTCTCTGCTGGCCAAGTAAAGTTCATGAAACCTTAGGAGGAAGTTTGCTGAAAGTGAATGTTTTTAAAACATTGCCTGAAGACTCCAACAAAAACAGCCCGGCAGGATGAGGGCACTGAAAAAGGCTCTTCACTACGGAGATAAAAATAGAGTTTTTCAAGCCACCTTCTCACTCCCAGGGTGGGAAGAGAAGGTGACTCCAGAACTAACACACCTTCGCATCCCCCTCCAGGTGAGAAGCTGAAAAGCTACCGGCTGCTAAGGAGAAACACTGAAAAACAAACATATTTATGGCACTGAATATGCTCAACAAGCAATTGCTTCACACACCCAAGTCAGCCAGCAAGGTGCTCTAACTGCTCCTGTGATGCTGCAGGTTGCATCGCCGGTGGCTGCACCCCCCCCAGCACCCCCCCACCCCCCTTGGCCCTATGGAGCGGGGAGGGCAGAGGTGCCCATACAGACTTTGGCCGGGCTTTCCTTCAGCTGGCAAGGCGAAGCCAGGTTTGCAGGACACTACAGCAAAGCTGATATTCAGCAAAATTCTGGTAACGAAAGCAAATCTCGTTCTCCCTCAAATTTTGCTCCATCAGCACCACCCGCAAGTTGTTTGCCTTCCACACACCGCCTGGGCAGAGTTTAGAAAAACACAGACAAAAAAACCTGGCAGCTAAAGGTTGAAAGGGCTTTGCTTTGTTCCACTGCACTAAATTCCCTGGGTAATACCACTCAGCTCTCTGGGATTGGCACGGCTTTATTCAGCTGCCAAAAATGAAACTAATGCAAAGCACGAGGTCTCCAGGACACAGTCCTGCTGAATTAGGGGGAGAAGAGGCAACAGAAAATAAGGTCCCTCTGAGTGCACCCCATGCTACACCAAGGATCTACCGGCTGCTCCGATGCCGTAATAGTCAGCCTGTTAAGTAAGAGTTTAAGTCGTCCCCAAGAACAAGCTGGAAATGGAGCTGGTTCAGGTTGTATCAGGTTTCTCCTGCGTAGGAAAGACCTGCACAACACCTCCTTAAGGGCTTTTAAAAGCATTTAAAAACAGCCTGCACAGTTCTCTCCAGGTCCATCCCTGCAGCCTCCCAGGTAGCTCCTAAAACCGAATACAGAGCAAAATAAAAAGCAGGCACTGCTTTGCTTTGCTGGGGCAGGAGATGGTCAGCAGCCGCGGTCTGCTGGGCACCCGGGCTCTGCACCACTGGCAGCACCGGCTGCGGTGCATCGCCGCACAGTGGGATGGGACCTCAGCCCGCACAGCTGTGTCAGGCCATCAGCAACATATGCACTGCCCTGATTACAGTGCCGTAATTATAGCCAGACTTCATGTCCAGTCTCTCCTCCACATGGCAATACGGCAAAGGGCTGGACAACCGGGGATCAGGGCGAGAAGGCTCCTGGATTTGACCAAGGGATGAGCATCACCACAAACGCCCCAGCGTGTGCCGTGTCCCGGGCTCCCTCCCAGCCACCCTGCCCCAGGGACAGCGTGGGCAGCACTCACTGGGGACATCCCAGACACCTCAGTGAACACAAGTGATGGACTTTGAGCTAAAAAAACCAACTTCAATGTTTTCCTAAGTGCCACTCTTTGATGCCCCCACGCAGCAGTAAGGCGCGATGGCTCCTTGCAAGACTGATGCTGCACAGTGGCATGAGTGGCCTGAGCTCAGCCTGGCACCCACAGCTTTCCTGGGCAACTCATGGGTGACAGCAGGACATTACGTGACCATGACGAGTGCCATCGGAGGGGGCAGCACCACGGGACGCTCCACCACACCACAGTCACGCTGCAGAAGTGGCTCAGCTATAAGGAAGTTTTGTTTCTAAATGGGTCAGCCCTGCTCCAGGAACACCTTCATTATTTCTGCATTAATATTTAATGCCCAAACCAACCCCAGCGCTGCCTCCATCTCGGCTCATCCTGCCCTGCGCCATCAGAAGACAGCCCCGTAGTTTTAAGAGCCAAGGTACCGCCGGGAGGGAAGCCTCGCTGGACTTGTCAGCGGGGCTGATTTCAATTGCTTACAACACACCCACCCCGCAGCTCTGCTGCCGGGAACATCCCCATCCAGCCAAAGTCCCTGGCACCTCAGCGTACCAGAACACACAACACAGCAGCAGCGTTTCACAACCCGAGCTGCTGACGGCTGCTGTGCTGCGTCCCTCCCTCGCCGCTGGCAAGCCCACCTCGCCAAGCACTCCCAAAGCTCGCTCCAAGCCCACGGGAACAGCAGAGCCTTTGTCCCCCAGCTAGGGCTCTCACGAGGTCCTGCCCCAAAGCCAGATGGCTCAGTGCAATTTTTACTGGAGAAAAAGCTCAGGAGCAAGGGAATCTGAAAAAAAAAACCCACACCCCAGGGTCCACATCTAAAGTCATTTAATTTCTACTAGCTGTCATGTCGGAGGATGAAGGGACCCAAGTTCCAGGGCAAGAGCTCGGAACATCTTTGTCACTGGGGTCTGGGCTTGAAGGAAACCAGAATGGGGACCTGCACGGTGCACAGAGCCCCCCCTCCTCAGCATGCTGGCTCACAGCACCCACTGGGGAACACCTCATTAGTACCCACCAGCAGTCACCCCTGCAAGGCAGACCCATCCCCCAGTCCCCCGAGGTTGGGATCTCTTGGGGCTGCCGAGCTGGGAGGGTCACCCAGACCCAGCCCCTTCCCCGCAGACCTCACACCAAGGGGCTCGACTCGGCCAAAGGCTTCAGTTCCAAGAGCTCGGGGCAGGAGAGGTTCAACGTGTGCCGGCTTACGCCGTACCCTGCCCTGCAACATGAGCAGCACGGGAGCGAAACCTCAGCCACGAGCAGACCCAATGCAATGAGGCACCAAAGGCGAAGCCAGCGGCTGCCTCCATCCCAGGGAGCAGCATCTCTCATCAGCAAGAGCTGCAGGCAGCACGGGAAGCTATTTGGGGTACCTTCGGCAAGTTAGGAGCTACCTGCTTTGTTACACTTCTTAATCCATGAGTTTCAACAGTCTGGAGATGTACCATCTCAGCAGAGGCCAGAAATCACTCTCCCAGCCCACAGCAGCACGGTACGCACGCAGAGGGGATGGAGCAGCAGAAGGTGAGGGCAGCCCCACATCACCACCCCTGTGCCGAGCCACGGAGCAGTGCCGGAGCCAGAACAGAGCCCACGACACCGTGGCCGGACCAGCACAAAGCCTCGCTTCAAGTGGACTCAGCTGCAGAGCCAAGACCCCTACAAAGATGCAACTCCAGCAAAAGCTCGTTGCCTTATAAAAACACCACAGCCCTGTGGGTCCTGCGCACCACAGCCGTGCAACGGTGCTGCCGACCACCGCGATGCAGCGGTCAGCTCAGAGCCCCAGCACCCAGCCAACAGGTTTCCCACATCTGGGGTGTGGGAAGCCCCAACGCAGGGAGCGGCAACAGCGGGGAGCAGAGTGCATGGAATCTGGGGATGACTCCAGGGGCCAGCACCTTCCTCCTGTCACACCGCATCGTCCTTCCGCTGCCAAACACACCAAACCGCCCACAATTTGCCTTCTGATTCACTTGAGCAAGAATCGTTCCCCTTCCCTCTGGACTTGGAGATAATGAGGCAAGAGGCTGTTATGCCGGCAATAACATTTATTACAGCTGATGTGTAGCAAATGACTATCAGGAATTATGCCTGCATTTGTGCAAGACAATTAGGCTTTGAGTTTGGGGTGTTTTTAAGCAAACACCTCTTCAAAGAGCAGAGCTATTCATACACCATTGCAAAACAATCTTCCACACAAAGAAATAGCTTTAAAATGAAATGGAGGATAGCCTGTAAATGGCAATAATCTAATCCGTCATAAATGAGACAGATTCGCCAGTCCCTCCTTTCTGCGAATAGACAATCCTGTACAAGGGATGAGCAGAGCTCGGCAGCGGTGCCCGGAGAGCTGCCCTTCCACCGAGCTGCCCGACCCTGCGCCCACAGCCAGCAAGGTTTCACCCCCCCTCCGTGCTCGCAGCAGAGCCCAGCAGCTGCACCGCTACGACAGGGTCCACGCGAGTGAATCAGCGCCAGGGAAGGTGGGATTACGTTGGCGGAAGGTGCCAGCAGCCTCCGTCTCCCTCTGTAATTACTACACATGTGTAGGCAGCTGCCTGTAGTGGCAGCATCGGCAAGGGGGTGGCTGACAGCTCCTTCACCATCTCATTAGCACAGTCACTCCGAGGGCGAGCACTGGTTCTGGAAAATGATTACAATGGGCTTCCCGAGCAGAACGCCTTGGGAAAGCCTGTGCGGGAGAGGGTGCCTGGCACAGGGAGCAGCCGGAGAGCTGACTGCTCCAGACTTTGCGGGGAACCGGCTCGAGCCCCTGGTCCGGCTGCGGCTGAAACCCCGGCAAGACGATGGCAGCGGCTGGAAGCAAAGCGTGGGGCAGCCACCCATCCCGCAGCCCTGCGGCTTGGGGTTCAGTGGCTGCGAGGAGGGGATGGCCAAACCTCACCCAGCATCGTCCCCCTTCCTCGGGGTTGTCTCCTCCAGACCACGGCAGTGTTCAAGGCTACTGCACACGCCAGAAAAGCATGGGCCAAAAAACATACTTGGGTGATGGGGATGTGAAGCATCAGAGGTGGTTTTGGACTGGGAGACTCCAAAGCTTACAGAGCTCTGGAGAGTCCACACAGTCCGTGAGCCTCCAGCCCTCACGCCGGGCTCCAGGAGGTTGCAGAATTCTTTAAAGAAACAGGCAAACACCTGGTTCCTGCACACACCCCATGCCACACATCTCCAGAGGCCAAGAAAAGCATCATCATCTTCAGAGGAGAAAAGGCTCCTCATTCCCTGCAGAAAACACAAATGGAGTCAGGACAGTCCTCGTCCAGCTCCCAGTGCAGAGATGCTGATGTTGGGTAAAACCACAAGATCTGCCTCCAGTTCCACGTCCTCACTCCCTACACCCCAGCTGCTCCCACTAAAATACCAAGAAATTGAAGTGTTCGCTAACTGATGGAGGCCTTTGGACTCCTCTTGAGTCCATCTTTGGCTCTTGGGGCCAAGAGGCCCCCGTGCACCCTCTGCACCAGCTGCATTTCAGCCAGATCAGCCAGGCTTCGATGGAGACAGTGCTGCCGCTTGCTCCGGGCCAAGGGTGCTCTGCTCCCTTTGGCCCGCGGCTCACGCAGCGCAGGAGCTCCAAAGCTGATGGTCAGAGGCAAGGGAGAAGCCCAGCCTGTACTCATCCCTCGTCTCTTGGGGGGAAACGAGCATCACTTAAGCGCAGTTGTTGCAATGGCCCACGAGCTGCCCTGCACGCTCCTTTGAGGGCTGCACATGGGCGCCTGGGGAAATTGCGACCTGCTCCACAAACCTGCTATTAGCGCAGTTCTTCGAGGACAACACACCTCAAACAACAACTGAGTCACTAGCTGAAACTGTTCCCAGCAACTGTCCCCAGACCGACCACACCACCACCCAGTCCGGGGGACCGGCAGGGCCGGGTGATGATCTCCAGCAGCTCTCGCCCTGTTTGCCCAGGCAGCTCCCGGGACCCGAGCCGTGCTGATACGCAAACACTCAGCTCCGTGGGAGGGAAAGGCTCCCGCCTGCGTGGGGACCTGACCACGTTAACACCCTGTGGGTGCTGGGCTCTGCCCAAGTCCAAGAGCAACCCACACGGCGGCGGGTCTGGGTACACCGGCTGCATTTAGAGGGTGGAAGGGAGCCCCAGATACCCAAGCCCCAGCTGTAGTTAAATGTCATAGCCAGAAAACTCCATTTGCAGACCTGCTCCACGTCCAGTGTAGCCAAGATTTTGGGTGCCATTAGCTCTGTCTGAACAGCTGTTATACCCCAGGATCCCCAAACGCAAGACTTTAGAACTTCAGTACCTTAGTATTTTTTGTACTAAGTTCTTCTACTAGAGGTTTTCTTTTTTTTTTTCTGCTTAATGCTCCCAGGTAACTCAATCTAACCACTTAAAATGCAGGAAATCATGCAAGCTTTCCAGTTTAACAAATGACATCCTGCATTACATGTTAGGCTAGAAAGGTTTTATTAGACTCGGTCACAGGACCCAGCAGAGCAGAAACCACTTCCTTCACAAGGAAAATTAAAGCACATAAATTATTTCATTTTTCTCATGACACTGGGAGCAAAGCAGAAAAAAAATCCCAACCCCGAGAGATCCATGAACTCCAGCTAGAACCAAGACACAGAAAAGGCTCCGATCGCTTTTAATCGCTGCAGGAAAGCGAGAAACCGCCGCAAACCCGCCCTGGATCGGGGTGATTTGGGGACAGCACCGCCCGCCCGTGGGACGAGACCAATTCCCACGCACGCTCCCGGCCCCCGCGGGCTCCCCCACAGCACCGGGGTGGGCTCGGGGCTGTTCCCCGTTGCGGAGCCCCGGGGTCCCCGGCAGCCGCTCTCTCCCTCCCGGGGCTCCGGTCGCTGCCGCCGTACCGACAGCCCGAGCGCATCCCCCGGCAGGGAGCGGGGGCGGCCGCGGCCCCCGGCGGCACCTCCTCCCGCCCACCGCAACCCGCTCTGCCCCCGCTCCCGGCGGAGAAGATGGGGGGGAGAAAAAAAAAAAAAAAAAAAATAAAACCCCAAATAAAGGGCAGCGGTGCCCTGGAGCCGGCGGCAGCGCCGGGCCGGCACCTGTTGCCGGGGCTCACCTTGTAGACATTCTCGGTGAGCCGGTGCACCTCCTCGGAGCGGGACATGCCGGGCGGACCGGGCAGCACCATGGGCGGCGGCGGCGAGGACGACGACGACGACGACGGGGGAAAAGGGGGAAGGGGGG